TTAGAGTATATGGTTGAGTTAGAGTTGAGCGATGCATACAAGCTCATATATCACAACTCACCTAGGCAAACTTCGTATTCGACTGTCGCGACAAACAATAACGCTGGTGTCCATAGGCGTTTTGTTAAGTCCATGGTGGTCGAACACGGTGATGGACAATTGAGCTATTAGCCATCCGCTGTCCAATCACTATCCATTCAATGCGGAGTTTATGAAAATGGAGAATATGGACCGAGGTGAAAGGCATTTTGGCCTTAACACGATACTTATATCTGAGCCAGGTGTGGTAGCATGGACCGGTAGGCTTAGGAGAGTTGGCCCGATGCATGAGAACTCTTTTTATTAAAGGGTGTCAGGTGACCGGTGGGATGTTGGTTTGTCAATCACCTCCAGTATGCTTAGTGTACTTTTGTGAATCAGAACAATGATGCAAAATAAGGCAGAGCATGATCTTATATGAGTCAAACAGTCTGATATTAAGGAAGTTGAGCTTGAAATAAAACTTCCTCAATTTCCACACGAGTTCGGGCGGAAGATAGAGTCAAGCTTATGACACAATGGGATGAGTTACTTCAAAAAAGGTAAATGGAATGGGATAAAAGAGTAAAGGTCAAAGGCATTACACTGTATGACCGCCGGATGTCTTGAGACCAGGATCTCATCAAACAACTTGAGATTCAAGAAGTTTAGCGTAAAATGGACCTTAACCCAATTTTAACACTATTTGGGTGGAAGATAGAGTCAGGCTTATGACTTAATAGGATAGGAATGAGCTGAAAATCTAACGGTAAAAGATATTATAGTGTACGACCGGATGTCTAGAGAGTTATTCGAAAAACCTCGTTGCATCGCCCAAAGGCATGAGGACAATGCAACACCCCGTCTTTCCTTCGATTCAAGTTAGACTAACAAAAGCAACGTCACAGTTGTGTGAATATAGTATCCTGTACTTCAAGGATAACCTCTCATTAAGGAGACCACACGAAACCCTCAATTTGGACTTCACTCTTCAAGTTGCCTCGGAGCATTGACAAACACTACGATAAGACCGGGACATGAGCACAACAAGGAGTTAGATAGTTCTACTTCAAAGTTGGTAAAGAATTTGGATATAACATCGAGGTTGATGTTATTCGGTTTATTTTTATGCATAACATATATATTTTCATATTTTTGAGATTATTTTTTCCCCCTCGGACGTTCGGCCCAAACGCTCGAACGCGTCTACAAGGGGGCCCGAACGTTTGGGCGCTCGGGTTCGGTCGTTCGGCCCCGACCGAATGCCCACTACCATGAATGCAATAATATAATATGCGTCGATTTTCTTTATCTACGTCCAATATAGATCTATGTGGAATACACGCATAAATCTACGTGTACTTTTAGAGATTAAGCTTTCCATTTTTTCACTTTTATTTTCGTCCCACCTTGAGAGCAGTGGTTGGTGCCCATCTCAGAGTATCAGTACTCCAGCTATACACTGGTTGCGGGAAAAATAAAGCAGAATCACTACTACTCGGATCAATTTGAACACTTCATTCCATACTCGTTCATATGAGCATAATTAGGCGGTATAGTATGCATCGCAACTCTTGGGGGTACTGGTGGTTTAACCACAATCGCGATAAAGGTGGATAATCACTTTCATTATCAATGGTTACGGGACGCTACCCGTTGTTTTTATTTTTTTCGCCCGCTGTTTATCGGCCTTTAGATTCGGGGCGACGGATGGATGATCTCTTCGTGCGTCACGTAAGCAATGATGGAGAATCATTGCATTGACGCTCTTTTTCAAAATTTTTGAGATTCAGTAGCACTCATGTGAAGCCACAAAAAACGTCGCCAACCTTCCTCAATAATTCTCTCGTTGGCGAAGGCCCGCTCACTTCTTGTTGGATGCTTCGACTATCGCTTGGTGCTTTTACGGCATGACTGATCGTGGCGAGTTGGGCTTCAAGACTATACAGCGTTGTATACCTTATCGACAAGACCTACTTTGTAACGAGCGTGAGGATGAGGGTGAGCCGAGGGAGGTGAGAGAGAGGGAGAGAGAGGGAGAGAGTGAGAGCACACACACACACACTCGCTCACTCGACACGACGGACTCGGACTGAGGGTCGGACGCAGACACAGTGGCAAGGCACCAAGTCGAAGTCTTCGATTCCCAATGCCAAAACAGCAAGTCACACTGAGTACGAGTACAGCAGCAGAGAACTGGTACGAGACTGGTCCCCGTACCGTACGGGGAGCCGGCATAAGTACCGGTGACACGTACSGTACCAGGGGCATTTCTGCAAAGGCCCCGAGGGCAGAACTGAAAAATGCAGTATTTGAAAGTGGCGCCCGAATTGCAGCATGGCGCCAGTTGTCCAAAATCCTATG